CCGCAATCGGACATGGAATTGCCCGCGTTGGTCAATGTGGTCTGCAGGCCCTCCACAGTCTTCTTGATTGAGGGCTTGGCATCATTCAAGAGCTGCTGGATCTTGTCCACCAGGGCCTTGGTCTCAGGACTCGAACGGCCCTTTGAGGCGCGCAAGGCCGTCACCAGCGTGTCCTCGAAGTCGATGTCGGAGTTGACGGGCAGCCTCAGCAGGTTCAGCGAGCCCTGCTTCAAGGCAACAGCTCCCACCACACAAAGTGCCAGGAACGACTTCATTCCGGGAGAGCGGACGGAAAAAAGGCAGAGCTAGGTGCAGCTAGGTCGGTTAAACTTGGCTCTTGCCCTGAGCCCAAGCGGCCATTGTCAGGGCATGTGCTGGGCTTTTCAGAGCATTCACTGGCCAAGATCTGTGCAGAAGGGAACCTCCGAAGCAGCACGCGACAAGTCAACGTTGGCTGGTCGGCTCAACCTTGCCTGGCTGATTTTGTAGCTTTGCACTTCGTTATGAAGCTGCACCCTCGTAGCAATGTGTTCGCATAAACATCTTCCTGGCCGGCCTTGTGGTCGGACAGAGAGCTGCTTGCGGCCGAAGATTCCTATACCCTGTTCTCGCTGCAAACGGCGGCTGCCAAGGAAGCCGAAAACTCCGAGCCTCGAGGGGACGTCGCAGTCTGCGCAGTTTCCAGCATGAATCATGCTTAGACAGCATCTTTCCAATTCACACCTCCAACATCGAGCAAGAATGCGCTGACTCTTTGCGCGGTGCGTGTATTTGCTCAGGGTTGCGTTTGAAGACTCCGTTGCCGAGAGACCGGTACTCCACCGTAACGACCACAATTCCTTCAGCGCAGAAACGCAGCTTTCTTAAACTTGCACAATCCAACGAAACACAGGCAAAGTTGAACCGAATCCTCCAAACAAATCAAGTGTCCGTTGCCGAGGACTAGTTCTCTCAGCGTCTCCTTCTTCCTCAGTCAGGCAGCACATCGTCGGCTATTCACTGGAAAAAATGCAAAAGAGCCAGGTGCTGGAAGCTTTCCGCTCGAATCTGAAAGATAGCTAAACCATAGGCCAAACCCTAAAACTCGCTCGTTCCACATGGCTTGCAAATACGATGAATGGAATGCCTGCCCGACACTTGTAACAAACATGTAAACCTAATGCTACGAGTATGAAGAATCTCGGAGGGACCGTGACGCAGTCACGATTCTGCAAAGGCAACTAACCGTAGTCGCGTGGCAGGTCGGTCGCAGATCCAAAAAGAAAGCTGCCTCCATGTAGGAACACCTTGGGAGGGGCTGGTAGAGGTTCTTACAGAAAGTTAGTCGCCCCTTTTCCTCCTCCAAGTCAGAATGCTGCGCAGGCACGACAGTTCTGGATTTGAGTGTCTTCTCAAGGTCCCAAGCTCTGAACAGTGTTCCATGACTGATCCAAGATCTGTACAGTTCCTTCTGTATATGTCCTGTCGATCATGTGGTCGGAGGTCTGACCAAAGCGTTCCTTCAGATCATTATCTTCTTGGAAATCCCGGCATTTGCACGCACTGGTACATATACTTCTTGCTCCAATCATGTCAAGGTGCCATAACTGCATGCTTCTTCTTCGTGTCACCGCCTCAGATGGCTGGCACCTCTCCTTCTGCAATCGCAGCACCCAGCAAGTGGAGCAATAGGACCCTGTGTCAAACATCCTCATGGCCTTGAGTCAGGCTTGAGCGCTTGACAAAGTCACTCTGATCTAGACGTGCCGAACACTGATCCCCTATATGGACGATCATTCTGGCACCCTGCAGCTTAGCGACGTGCAGGGACTGGTGCGTACACGTTCAGTGTCAAGCAGTCTTCCTGTCGCGGAGGGCCAACGGGGACGTGTCGGCGGAGTAAAATAAAAGGGCTTTCCTCGTCTGTGGCGAATCACTTCCCGGTCCCAGGCAAGGCTGCTGAATTCTGGAAGCCTAAACTACCTAAACCCTAGACTTCTCAAGTCTTCTGAACTACCTGCCACTCTAATTTATGACTGAACCGTCATGAGTAGGCCCCTCTTCAAGCCAGGCTGCTTCCATGTTCTGGGGCAAGCCAGGGCGTGGGCCTCGGAAAGCCGGCTTTCCAAGCCAAGCTTTTGCTTTCGGTGCGTTCTTTCCGAAACTGCAATTTCTAGCGAGAAGAACTGTTCATGAGGGGCTCGAGGAGGGCGTGGTTTGCAATTGAGGGCCGTGGATGTAGGACGGATTTCGGTCGGCGATAGCCAAGCTTGCTAAGGGTTACTTAGGGTTTGCTGAGTAGGTGGAAGGTTCTCTCGAACGAACGACGATATTCAGAACCTCAAACCAATGCAACCGCTGCATCCAGTCAGAGACCACCAGTTGCATCCCAATAGCCAGCTTGCTAAACCGTTTTGGAGCCCCGCAAGTTATAGAAGCAAGCTCAAACTCTGAAGGATCAGTTGGCCTTTCTCTGTTGGAAGAGCAATAAATCCTGGCAAGGTGCAGGTTGCCCCGAAGTGCGAGGCATTGAACCAGCCCGAACCCTCGCTAGCCGGCTTTGGAACTTCCCAGCGGCCTGGCAGATCGAAGTGAGGTTCCGGACCTAAACTTAGGTTTGTGTCTCTTTACAGACACGTAAGGCATAAGGTTTTGTGGAAGTGTGTGGCAAAGCCCAATCCAAAACCCCAAGTTGCAAAACCTCCAGTCGAAGCATTTGCATGTTGGAACACGGGCATCCCGAGGACTGTACAGCAAGGCTGCAGGGGCGGCCGGACAGGAGTAGCCCACTTACAAAGCCACCGAAGTTTACTTTGCGGTCAGCAGCCTTGTAGAAGGCTCCTGCACTTACCCAACTCAGCGGAAAACAGCTACCCCCACTCTGCAAGAGCATACGTCACCTGCGCGTGCATATTGGATGCCCAGGTGTCTATGCATAGAACCGTCCTCGACAATCGAGAATCACAAAACACGGCACGGAATGACAACCTAGGGTCCTGGCCAAACCAAGCTACATGCCGCACCGGTGCAGGGACCACTGCGCTAAGTCACACGACTTATGGACGCCAGTCATACTGCTGCATTGCAACATGTTGCCACCGTTCGTTGCAGCTCATGTACTGAATGTCATGTGCAGCGACTTCACAGTTCAGGCCGCTGTGCTGGCTGGCAGGATTCCGCAGTCTCCGCAGTCATTGCCGAGATGCTGATACTCCAGCGAACGTCCCAGCTGGAGCGATGACTTCCACGACAGCGTCATCTGCTTGGGTGCCTGAAAGATGGTCGCAAAGCCTACATGGCAGAGCCCTTCAGGTAACAACTCGACTGTGCCATTTTGCGGCAAGAACGTGGTAGCCGCGTTCCCGCAACACTGCTGATCATCTGCAGCTGCTATGAGGGAATTTATTGCAATTTACAGAGTCCTGCGTCGCTGCTTTGTGGCGATGCGTTGTTTCTACTGCAAACTGTCATATTCGTAAGGAAAGCACTCGTTATGTTTCGCAAAATTCGCCTCGGCCCCGGCCGAAGCGGTCAGAGGTTCCTATTCGGATTCCCTCTATTCCCCACCTCTTAATCCCCTCCCCACTGACCCCCACCCCTCAAAGTTACCAT